TGTTCAGTTCAGATGTGACTTATGTCACTACGTGGCTTCGGTCACGAGATCAGTTTTCAGTTACGTGACTTATGTCGCGAGTTCAGACCGGTATCAGATTCAGTTCAGAAATATATGCTTAGTTCATGTTATTGTTATTATTCACGATGTTTTACATTAGTATGAGTTTCCACGGAGCACAGTGCCTAGTGCTCACGCCCCAGTTATATCTTATTTTTCAGGTCAGCAGGTCGGGCCGGCGGTGTGACATGACGGGAGCTGCTCGGGTCATTCAGGACATTTGTTTATATACTTTTGGATTGTACAACTAATATTTATGCTTCCGCTTACTTTTAAACTATCTTTTGACGATGGTTTGATGATTTTGACAGTTTTATCGTATTTTTACGAACTTTTCCGAAAAATGAAGTTTAAATAACCGGACGTTTTAATAAGTTAAAACAACGGTTTTTCTAAAGATAAGTAAAGATTTTCATGGTAGCACCCCAGAACAGTATCGCAAAGTGAAAATATTTTAGTTTTCACGGACTTTGCGATTAAATGCGCAACTCTGATTTACTAGTAAGGCGGGGTGTTACAAGTACAGCACAATCACACGGCAAACCGAAGGTCAATCGCACGGCGAGTTCAAGGAGTAATTAGTCCGTCAATCTCCGATACCGTCGAGCGAACAGGAAGGTAGACTTCTCCTCAGCTCATAACCTTGTTAGTTAGGTTAGTTCAGGGTGAGGTGTTCGAATAATTGTCGGAATTTTTGAATAAATCGGCACTTAAGTCCGACTATGCGTAAGATAAGCAATCGCCGAACAAGTTTTATTTTCTTCCGGCAAGTCATGAACGATTTTGTTCTTTTCAGCTTTTATTTAAAGTATTTTGTAAAATTAAGAGAGGTCGGTCGATGAAATGTCGAGGATTGCCGATGAATTGGCCAAAACTGTAGCTTGTGCCGATCGCACGCGGCTACGGACGGCCATGAGGCATGAGTTTGTTTTTCAGCGCATGAGTCGTGACCTGTAGTGTTTATTTGGACTTAAATTAGTTGATCATGTTCAGTTATTCGAGAGTTGTCGGGGAAAAACGGAGTTTTGCCGAGGAAAGGCCCAGCCGGCACCCCACGCCTATCGCGCGTAGCCTCGGGGGTTGCCGTGGGCCGAGGCATGCAGTTTCAGTTTTGATCATTTTCTCGTGTGATTAAGTCTTAGTTCAATTCAGAATATTTAACAGGTGATCAGACTCTGAAGTTGTCGAGTAGAATCACTCTTTGGCCGAGAACATGACCG